GAGAGAGGTGTGAAAGGCGAGTCTCTGGCGTCTGCAAACCAGATTGCTCCTGGCAGGTGGGACTCGTCAGCCTCTGGAGGCAGCCTACTTAGGAGAAGGACAACTGTGATCTCAAACTGGGGCGGGTGGAGCTCGTTAACAGCTTTAGTCTGCAGCCCACCCAGCCGGACGTCACGGCTTAGGCAACCTCCGACCACTGACTGGAGTTTTGGCGTGACGTTGCAGCCTCTTGGAACTACCATTCGTCTCGGGTTCCCGTTCCGTCGGATTCATTTCCCCGGGGTCAAGACACGTGAGGTTGGTGGAATTAAGTGCACCCCCTCTCCCCTGCGCAGGTTTCCTAAATTTCCTGCTCTCTGCATTACTATTATCACCAGGGTACTAAAAACTCAAGTTGGGAAACCTAACTGCCAAACTGCTCGAATTACAAACAAAACAGACATTCAAACCCCCTTTGTTACTTATATATTAAATTTAATATGTACTTATATACTTGAAAAGTGAGCATTGACCCTTTCATTTTTATAACGTATTTTTAATATGTTGACTTTAGTTGTCGTATATTCAGTTGTTTCAAATTTGATCTAAAACTTGTTGGGAAACCTAAAAGCCAAACTGCTTGAATTACAAACAAAACAGACATTCAAACCGCCTTTGTTACTTTTATATTAAATTTAAAAGAAAAACATTACAGAGGCTTGATTATAAAAGAGGTACAAGAAGACCATTACAGTAACATGTAAGAAGATCTTAGTACCAAATTTTGTTCCGAGAGTTAGTTTGGCTTGTCTGTTGAAAGCATGAGTGCGATGAAGGACAGAAGAATAAGGATGACTGTCGTGACCAGGAAGAGTACAAACATTGCCCGGTCCAGCTTCAGGGCCACGGCTTGCCACGTGACACGGCCCTTGCACGGGCCGTAAAGGTATGCCATGAGGCGGATGACTCGCTGTGTCACCAACTTTTCTTGGTAAGTGTTAAAGAGGCACAGCACGTAGACAGACGCGAATATGGAGGCACAGCCCACGACCACCATGCAGAAAATAAACATAGCTGGCGAGAAAGCAGAAATGAGCACTGTTATAAGGATGATAATAGTGGTAATATGTATTCTTTAAACATTTTCCGACCGTCCCATTGCATCACTGGATGAGGAACGAGCCATGCATGTGAGGTAAGAACAGTGGGAAAGCGATCTGGTCAAACATGTATTACATTTCTACAGAACATTTTTGAAGTATCTGCTCATCAAGTCACAGATAAGGCTCTATAAATACTGGTTTTCTGGCCAATTTCGGCAAAACAGCATCCACTTTCATAAACAACCGTTGAAATTCCTTCCAATTCCTGCCGATATGAGGACGAAAGTGCTTATCTCACGAAGGCGGTTTCAGATTGCGCAACAAGCACGTAAACGTTTTATATCATCTTCAAACTTACTTAAAATGGGTGTCTCGTCACCAATCGGCGGCATATTGCCCGCTATGAGCTGCTGGAAAAGAACGAAGGCGAGAAGGTTGGTCATCCCCAGCGAAATCTTCTCTCCAGATGCGGGCGGGACGCAGAACACCATCAGAGTGAGCATAGCCAGGAGAATAGACGGAATTAAAATGCTGAAGATGTAGGCCAGCGATGCCCTCTGGAAGGTCAGCTCGTAGATGACCTGAGTATAAGGGTGCTCACAACAGACGTACTTCACCTTCTCTCGCGTCGTGTCCACGCGGATAAGATTCCAAACCCCATTTTTAGCAAAGATGTACTGCTTGGTGTCCTCATCATCGAGATAGGAGAAGTTAAGGGCGGATATGTCATAGGCCCAGGCCATGAAGGTCATGTTGCAGTGCTGGACATCAAAGGGAAACCTTTTGACGTACACCTTGCACGAGAATTGAAACATTGCTGGCGCGTACCAATTTACGGAACCATCTGAAGACACAATCAGTTCCGTCTCATCAAAGCTTGGGAAGTCATAATTCACACTGCATACATCAACGAGAAACAGAATTCGAACTATGATAGGTTCATCTGTAGTTTCAGCATGTCCAAAATAAAACTTGAAAAGGACCCTTTCATTGACAAGATGGGACACTTGTTTCATGAAAACCACGCGCCCAAGCGGCTCGCACAAGACGCGCTCTTTTCGTACAGACTACACTATGGTATACCTAAACTGACGAGGATACTTTTTCTAATGTAAGAAGTTGTGATAGTAAATACTGGTAGACTCCGAATGGCCCAGCTCTACTTGATAAATAACTTTAATTGATTGGCTATCCTTCAACCAAAAATTGTGGGTTCGCTACTTCCCATGATGCTACTGATAAAAATCACTCAGTAAAACTGAAATTTTGTCACATATGTGTCCTTTAACCAATAAATACCTTAAAATCTATGATAATGACTTTGATATAGAGTTCCTTTTTTTTAACCTAAAAGAGCCTGGGGCAAAATCCAACCCCCTTCCAAATTTTCGCGATATCGTTGCGTTTCTTTTGAGCGTCAACCCTCCAGGAGTTTTAAAAATAATATCTTGGAGTCATTTTGACACCAATTTTGGGAAAGTCAAGCATTTAATTTAGACAGGTAAAATATGAAATACATACTTTTTCTTGATGTACGCGGACTGGTTCGTCTGTGGCCTTGAACTTCAACTGACCACAAAAAACTTTAAATCTGAAATTTTACATCAGTCCGATATTGAGATTTTTTATGTGCATGCCGAGTCCTTAGTAGCCGAGTTTGTGAGGGTTGAATCCCCCTTCTGGGAATGGGATGCTATTTTAGGGTTAAACAGCATATATTGTCTATAATATGGTATAATTTTTGTTGTTAATACAATACAAAATAACCAGCTGATCTATCGGTCACAAAATGGGCACTACAAGGATCTGAACCTTTAATAGCAAACTTACTTCTCCAACAACACGATTCGTGGTATCCAAATTTCCGATTGTAACACGTGCACGATATCTTGACCACCGTAGTCATCAGGATTCCAGACTAGAAAGTCATCGTGCCAAGACTTCAAATTAAAAGTGGAAAGCGAACATTGACACAATTACTGATTTTGTCTAAAATCAAAATCCCAAGTCGGTCAACAGCTGCGCTGAGTATCAAAGAACAAAGAAGTCTGTTTCACGCTAAAATGTGTGAAAACGTAAAGGCACTGTTGAAAACCTCGATGCAATATTGACGACTGAAATGATCATATTCACAGTAATTGATCACTTATTATTTTATGTATATTTTGACGTTAGTTTCGTGATACTTTTGTTGGTTGCAAACTTATAGGTAGTCAGCGAAATCGCGCAAACACTAATTAACTAGCTGCTTTAATTATTAAGCTGAGGAGAGATACACTCTCATTTCACGTACTTACAAACATTGAGAACAACAGTGCACAAAGGCACTAAAAACTGATACGAATTGGCTATTTTGGATAATATTGGATGCGTGAATGGTGAAAACGCTGTGAAGCACTTAATACATGCTGCACAGTTGTCTGCGGTCAGTCAGGCTGTCACTCTGTCGGTCAGTCGATCTGTCGGTCGGTCCGTTTGTTATGTTTCGTTTGTTTATTTGGTTGTTTTTGTTTGTGATCTTCACTTTGCATGCATAAAATGACTATAACCACTATATTCTCCCTTCAAAGCCTCAACTTCAAAGTCTTTGCTTGATTATTCGCTCATTTGTAAAACTTTTTGAAACAGTTTTTGGAGCTCTTTCATTTTAACTCGAGAAATTTTGTAACGTCAAATGTATTCATAACTATTAAAACCGTCATTATACAACAGGAATTTTTGAACTTATAATAATTTCACCTGCAGTCTGGTTTTCAATTAACTGAATTCTACAGGGGGGAAAAGAGCCACGTTGGAAGACACGCAATAAACTGCAAATGTTTGCCTTGGTTTGCCCCGCCGACATCGTTTCCACCGTGTTGAGCAGTGCGCCAAATGAAGTAAACCCTGGGGAGATGGCAGCATTTGCCAATGGGTTTTTGAAAATGGTGCGTTTCCTGAAATTACAGTGTCACGCTTGCTGTTTCCGGACTACAGGTAATTTATATCGATAGGAACACAAAGTCCAGTTTATAGGCTTTTCGATTTAAAACTTACTGTGAAACTAAAGTTGGCTCACTAAAAAACAATTTCTGAGAAAGGGTTGGTCATTGCGATGGTTTTAATTAATATTGCCTTGTCTTGCACAGAAATCAATCACAAAAGGGGAATTTGCAGCATATTTTTGCGCACTGACATCAGTGTAACATTGGGGGTTTCTTACCAGGATGACACAACAGTTTTGCACATAATGTTGAAATCTTATTAGCATAATAACCAAAAAGGCACCTAATTACCCTTTCAAATAGCAAAAAAATAAAAAATACAAAATAAGTAACACAATATGCTATAATGGTGGCGCTATGTATACCCATACATGGTATACCAACATGCTGTGGGCAAAAAAAGCTACACAGCTTGGCCGTGGGCAAGGCCCTTGGGCGAGAAACAAATTCCACAATGCACCCTCTCGGCCCATTCAGTGGACGCTCTGATTTTTGTTCATAATTTATACTCACCAGTTTCTGCCAGGCGTTGATAGTCAGTTGTTGTCGTGGCTCATCCTGTTACATGAAAAGAATACAATTAACGATTGAACTGCACGTATCTCATTGAAACATTTACAGTGAGCAGCGCATGGTCAGGTTCGATCAGTGGTTAGTGGTCCACCACTGGTTGATTTCCCCTGGTGCCCAAAGAGCACAAAATACATCCTGGGTACCATTCATGGCAACATGGACGTAAATACTGGAAGAATGGGCCGTATATAGGCCCTATATCCCCCGCTTTTTGAGGTGGGGAATGGGCTATTGAATCACCCCCCTCCCTTTTGTGATGAGCAAACAACTAAAGTGGACTTTGTAGAATTTAAGATTTCCCAACGACTAAAATCCCCCCCGCTTTTCAAATTTTCATAGCCAGGGAAATCATCTTCCCCTTCCCCCATTCCCCCTCCCCCCAGTTTCCAACACAGATTTACGCCACTGCATGGCAGTGAGGCTCCAGGGGACCGCGGTAGAGGAGAGTTGGGGCTGGAAATTAGAGGACGGTTTGGGGCGCCGTTCAGAACTATTAACCTGAGAGTTGTAGCGAGACTATAGCGCCAACTTTGGAACCAAAATGGCTGTTCATTGTGTGTGCGGTACAGCATGCAGCTATTGTGCGCTAATTGTCCATGTGCACAAGGCACATCATCCACCATTTTGGTACCAGCAATTATAATTGAAAAATTCATGTCACAACTCATATACAGCTTTGCTATTGACGTGTGCAACAAACCCAAATTTCAGGGTTCCTTTACGGGCCAGTTTCTTTTGCACGGATCTGGATCTCGGATCCGAATCCGTGTGAAACGGACAGGCCCAAACTGGCCCTCAGACTTTTGATAAACTACATTGCTTGACACTCATCTTCGCTTTTTGGAGGAATGTGAACATCACAATGCATGCAGCCATGTCGCTGCTTGTGAACTATGAAACAGTTGCCCTCGTGAAATTATTAATTAATTAATTATTAACATACATTTTTAGATTCCAGAGGATTCTATATCAGTGATATACCAGAGATTTTCTTTCTTCAAGTGAATTTTGAGCTTTTTCATGCCCCCGGAGCCTGTGTGCCTCACTCATCTAAAATAAAGACTAAAGAGCATTATATTGTTTCAAACTTTTCGGTTTCACTAAGTTATTACAAGGATTAACAAAGAAATTGGAGTGGGGTTTGAACCACTAATAGTGGAATTTACTCCACAGACTATTCAGCAGGCCTGCTTCTGTGGACTCTTTTGTTAATACGCCCCCTGAACAGAGACATTGGCAAATGGGAGGAGCCACAAGCATAGGGTATTGGATAGCTCAGTTGGTAGCGCACCGCACTACCATTGGCTTCAATGGGGGGCAGGTTGGAAGAAGGGCCACATATAATTCAGTCAGCCCCCCCCCAAAAAAAAAGCACACCAATGGTGTCGTCCACACTCAGAATTTTAAAATATACCTTTAATTATTCAGTTTATAGGCTTTTGGTATATACCACTGATAATATTGTGTGCCACCCCGTTTGCTCTCTGTGGAAATTTTCCCCACCACTGCCATTGGGGCCGCGGCGTTCCAGAGATCACAAATTTGCATCCCACTTCAGTCAGTCACTTTACTAGTAAATACCGTATAAGCAACAAGTCAGTTTTGGTTTATTTGTTGTCATTTACTAAAGGGAACTGCCAACTGAAATGGAACATGAGTGTACTGGGATTATATTACCGCCATTCTAATAACCGTAAATTATATACCACTTGATTCAAAATTCACTTCAATTCAGTTTTTCTGGACTTACGAAATCGACAATCTGCGATATAAGAAGGCGAAGGTTGACATTCACAGATTGGGAGGAGTTCCTCAGGGGTCTTATCACCCTTGATCCGTAACCTCTCAGTAGGTTTGCCACTATACTTTTCTCCTCACTGCCGGGTAAAAGTGTTGGTGGTATTTCTAAGGGGGAAAAAGAAATTTATACAACCTGATTTCTTTCGGGAAATTTCACGGTCCATGCTGTGGATAAAGTCCACACGCACCTTGAAGAGCTGGGTGATTTTATCATGCAAAATGTTATGTCTGATGTCACGGCGCGTTAGAGCTCGACTGAACAAGTGCATTACCAACCCAACATCTACTCACACTATAGCAACTAGCCGAATTATACATGATAAGGATAATGCTATCCAAGTGAAGAATAATTGGTCACCGTGGATACAGCCTTGCACCAAAAGATATATTAGTAAAGCGAGTTTCCATATAAATGGGCGTCGATCTGCCATTACGGTCAAGCTCACCACAATATAACACATTAAGAAACAAACAAAATTACCGTAATATAAAAAAATGGAGCTACAAATCTCATCAATCATATGAGTCAGGGGTAATATAGGGATAAAGTGAAAAGCCAAGGGGACGTACAAGGATATCGAATGAACCCCCAACGACTTTGCTTGGCCGACAAGGTAATGTAATATCGATTGTTGCGTTGGCCTTCACAACGAAATGACTATTCATTATTATTGAGGTGGAGGCACTTTGTTAAAACAAAGATCGGTTATATTTGAAGCTATAAAGAATGGCTTGACATTATTTCAATTTACAATATGTTACTAAAATCTGTTATAGTCAATCTAAAACATGTTTGAGATTAAAGTAGTTTATCCTCTTAAAATGAAAGTGATAGAACTGCGCATTTTTTCCAGTGGTCTGCATGGCACTATTTTTCTTCCTCTTATCTCATATACTATTATTTCTTGTGCTGTATGTGGAAATACTTCTTATTAAATCCAAGCAGAGAATAATTTGTGTCTATGGGTACGACCTTGTACGTAAGGGGATAATTTTAGGGGAGTGAGTTTCCGTAAGAATTGGGCTCATTCTACCAATTAAATTCAAGTTCACCGCAATATGGTAAAGTAATAAGAAATATTTATATACCGTGATAGAAATTGAGATATAAAACTCATCCAGTGGTTTCTTAAGGGAAAATGTAGAGACAACAGAAACGCCTAATGGGACATTAAAGAAAATGCCCCCAAACTGGGGTCAAATGGGTACATATAACTGTCAACCAATCTTGGTCTAATTAGATGTTCACTATTCAAAGAGGAATGGCTCGACATTACTTTATCATAATAGTTAGGCCTATAACATGTTGCAAAACCTGTAACAAAAATTATAATATGTGTAATATGCATGTTTAAATTAAAGCAGAGATTTGTTCTTGAAATGAAATTAATAGAAATGAAGATTAGTTTGTAGTTTGTATAGCTCGTTTTTCCTCCTTTTGAAAGTGCGTATTTGATTAATGTGCTGTTTTGTTATTTTGCTATGAAATACTACATGTAGAAATGTTAGATTTACTGAATAAGTAAAGTATGTGAGCAGATTTTAATTTCCAGTTTTTATTCAGTAAGTAGTGACTAGAAATATTCCAGAAGCCTTTATTGCAACAGCAAGAACTGAGGAGGAAGCGGAAATATTGAGCATATTGGTTATTTAGCACCGATCGTGACTATGGAACTATTTTATTGGGACAAATGCTCTGATTGATTTACAGAAACGTTTGTCAACTGTCAGATTACACTTATGACATATACTAAATAAGATTTTAAATTTGTAGTTTTGAGGTATACGTAAGACAAAGCATTATAATTTTTTATAATACTTTGGTATTTCATGTGTTTTCACAGAGAGGCGATTCCAAGATAATATCTTGCCAGTAGGGAACGTCCATTTTCCAAATCATTTTCTGAAACGTACGAAGAATTTTCTTTTTCTGTAACACCCCATCCGTCCTAAAATGTACAAACTGAAGAAAAGTGTCATAACCAGGTCATCATCATTTAAAAATATTATTGACAAGCGTTCGTGGCCACTTCCACCCTCTCCCCAGCGTAAGGTTTGTACGCTCTTGAAATTGATTTAAAAATGGATGAGTTCTTACGTCCCTCCTCCCCTACCCCCCCCGTACTGCTGTAATTCAAAATTTAAATAAACTTCTCATAAAGCAATGATACCCTTAAACAGACGGAAGTGCGTATATCAATTAAACTGCCGTCTACAGTGCACGGTGAATTCTCGCCTCACCTTGAAGTAGATATAACTGTACAGCACGATCGATGTATAATGTTTGCACATTCCCGCTCAAAACCCCTGCAGACTGGACCTATACAATAAACATTTTTATCGGTGGGTACATGCATGAATAATGTGGTCATCGTTTCTACTTTCACAAAGAGAATATACAAGTTAAGCAATGATGAATTTTAAATGCGCGGCACCAGACATGTTGACGTGCATTTGTTAGTCTGAATTGTATGATCGACAAAGGGCACTTTGATCCCTTGCCAAGATTTCTCTGTTTAAAATTAGCTATTTT